ACAGGAAAGTGTTAATAATCTTTCCCCAGGTCACACTTCGATTCACCAGCTGCCTAGGGGAGCCACCTGAGTCAAACGAGGGACCCTGCAGTGTGTGCACTTATATTACCCAAGGCACTGGTTGCTCGGGGACATAACTCTATTGCCAGGAGGCTATACAGAAAGGCAGCAGAGCACAGTGACAGAGAGCAAGGGCAGGTGTCTGACGGCCTGGGGACAGATCCTGTCACTAAATTAGCTAATATGGGAGAGGACAGGAGACTCCTGTCTGATTTAATCTTCCCAAAATTTGTCAAGCCCCAGGTCCTCTCTGGGCCGGGGTGAGATATGCACATCACGGCCTTCCCAGATGTCACCACAGGAATGTGCAACAGAGACAGAGGTGCAGGGATCCCTGGGGAGGCAGAGAGGGAGGAGAGGCTCACCGGGTTGGGTGTGCAGGACCCAGAGAGCTCCTCAGGCCCAGAAAGGGGACCTTGGGCCCTGACATTCCCAGGGTCAGGTCCACGGGGTACTGAGGCCTGTTTTCTGGCCCTGCCAGCACCCACCACCTCTCCCCTGATTAAAGCATCCTGTTGGGGGGCACTTAGCTGAGCATCCTTAGGGGCTTCTATGCAGTAAGTCTCCATTCCTTGGCAGGATGTCCTCAGGGAAGGCTTCCCATGCCCGCGTGGATGTTAGCACCATTTTATAAGCACGTGTGCAGCCACAGCCAAGACCAGCCACTCCAGTGCCCTCCCCAGTCATGCTGGTTTTCCTGCTTGGCCAACAAGAAAGTCAGGCAATCAAAGGGGAGCCATTGCTTTTGTTTTCTTGGAGACAGGACCGAAGAAATTCTTGACACCCGGAAGGAGGAGAACAGCTGTGCATGCCCAGAGCCCCCCAGTGCAGGAACAACCCTGCCAGGGGAGGGGGCCCAGAGCAGACCCACACTTATTAGGGGCCCTTCCAGCAGGGTGAGCCCAGCTCCCCTGACCCCAGCCCAGCCCCATGTCTGGAACATTCCTTGTTGCTCAGCAGGGGTCCCAGCTGCAGCCTGCGGGGAGGCAACCAGGGCAATGCAGAGAAAGAGGGGAGGAGGCTGGAGAGAGCCTTGCAGACAGTGAAGGCCCAAGACCCACTGCCTGGGTGTGACCAGGACCTTCAGGATGACAATCATGAACGGAGGGAAAGAGGGACTGGGGAAGGGGTACTCAGAGGAGCTTATGATTAAGGATCACGACGTATACAAAAGGCACAAAAGAGGTGAAAAATTCCAGGCGGATTGTCGTTTCTCTGTCAGAGTCCTCAAAATCTGCAAAGTAAAGTTCCGCGCGTGCAATTGCAGCGATGTGCTGCGGTGGCCTCGGGTTAGGAGAGGGGGGCGAGGGAGCGGGGTGAGAACTTGGGCCCTGAGCTCATGGCAGGAGAAAGCCTGACCTTGGAGCCCATTCTGTCCCCATCTCAGTCCTCTCCCAGGGCCTCCAGAGTTCCTGTAACGAAGAAGGGGGTCTAGGACCCCCAGGGGCCCCTTCCAGCCCTCCAGTGCTGTCCCCGTGTGGAGGCGGGAATGGCTGCATCGTCCTGTTCCCCGAGAGGCAGCCACCGCCACCATGTCTCCCTGTGCACGACATGGACTCCCCTCCCTCTTCTCTCCTCCCTCTCACGACTCTTGTCCTTTTCCTCTGTCCTAATGACTACTCGTTTCCTTTCTCCTTGTCACCCTCCACAATCCTATTGTCCAATATGGGAACACTGGATTCTGGGCATGAGGCCACCTCCTCCAATCAATTGATTGATGAATTACCCACGCCATGCAACCAGGGAGCAACCGTCATGGTCCCAGGCTCCTGATGAGCTCTGAGAAGAGAAGGACAACCAACTGCACATGTCTAGCGACTGTCGTGTCCCTGACATGTTCTTATGTCCTTGGGAAATACATAATCCTCACAACACACCCCATTAAGTTTTCTAGCTCATCAGAGAGGGCGGCTATGAAAGGAGAGGTAGAGCAGCTTGTCCAAATCCACCGCGAGGGAGGCAACAGGAGCTCTACAGCAGGGGGTTTGGGGCACATAATAAAGGGGCCTCTGGGGTTTGCACAGAGCCAGGGGAGGGCTGGGAGGGAGGAGACCCAGCAGACCCAAGGACAGGGAACAGGCCGGGGTCCGACAAGTTTGTGGGGACCAGGGCAGCGCTGTCTGGCTGGAGCACTGGGTCTGAGAGAAGCCGTGACAGCTGTTGTTGTCCAGGGGACCCGTCTTGGGTTCTTTCCTGGAGCTGAGGCCAATGGGACTGAGAGCCAGTGTGCACAGCAAGCCCGGCAGCCCCTTCACACCCATCCCCTGGGACTCCTGCCAGCCTTGGAGGGTGACCAGGGACAGCTGGACACGGGGCTCTCAGATGGAAGCAAACAAAGGTTTTATTCCTACTCCCAGTATTTTGGATTTGAGTGAGGCGTAGGTCTCTTCCAGAGAGATGAACAAACTTCAAACAACAAAGTGCCTAGAAAAACAATGACGTAGGACAGATCGTGGGCCCTAAATTTGCAGTTACTTGTACGACTAAAACTAAATGAGGGCGTCATGAGCGGGTGTGACCAGGGTGATGGTCACTAGGGCGATCGTCTCTTAATAACTTATAACATCCTACCTGTGTTGTGATGCTATTCTGCATATGCATTTTATTTTCTATATAAAAAGGTTTTTAAGGACAACTGTAATAGATATTGTTCAATGTAACAAAGTCCAACATTAAATGTCAAATATCTCTAAAAATAATTCTAAATACATACAAGTCACAAAGGAAATAGCTGGAGCGACATGAGCTGACTTGGGCAGGACAAGAGTGAACCGGCCCCTGTTCTGTGGCCTCGTGTCCGATTCAAGGTTCCCAACCCTGTGCCAGCTGCAGCTGCCCCGGAACCCAGGCCGACACCTGCACATCGCGGCCTTCCCGGGTGTCGGCACAGGGATGTGCAGCGCAGGCGCAGGCGCAGGGGCCCCTGGGGAGGCACAGAGATGGGGAGCAGGGCTCGCCGCGGTGGCTGTGCAGGACCCAGCATGGAGGGAGATTTTATAGGCATTAAAGATGGAACGGCCTGCTGAGACCAGACCCTCCAGGGAGAGAGTCATGGACAGAGGGAAAGAGGGCGTGGGGAAGAGCCGCCAAGAGGGGTCGATGGGTAGGAAATAGAATAAAAAGAGATGCAATTGAGAAATAGATTGCATGCCGATTAACGTCCTCCTTCTCACCTGAAAAGCCTGCCTCCGCATGGACCAGAGCAGTGACGGTGACCAGGTGGCCTTGGAAAAAGGAAGGACAGGGTAGATTTGAGGGGAAAACTTGGGCCCTGCTGCTCCTGATATTTTAAAGTCTGACTACAGAACCCAATTCTCCCTCATCTCTGGAGTCCTTTCTCAGAACCTCATTCCTTCATCTCTGCAATGAGTAAGGATCTAGGATTTCCAGGTCAAATCCCATAACTGTAACCAGGAAGGGATGCCTGTGTCATCCTGTCCCTCCCAGAGGCAGACACCGTCCCCATGGCCTCCTGGGCAGGGCACTGCCTTCCCTCTCCTATGTCCCTCCCTCAG